GGTCTTTTCTTGTCAGCAGTCTAGATATGTGAAGGATTTTAGGACAACTTGTATTGCACTACAGGTTTGAGTTCAGATTTTCACAGTAAGAATACTTGCATAAGAGCATAAAATGACTGTTCTTTGGTAAAGGACTTACTGTAAAATGTATTTATTGTCACATTCTTCATAAATTTTGGTATAATTATATTAATTAGAAGACATTTTTATAATAACTCTGATTGCTTCTACATATTTTGGTTAATAATNTTTATTAGGTGGAGTTAGGCCCAATATTCCTTAACATGGTATCAGAGCTAGGCCCAATTATGCAATGTTGGGTACCACCCAATATCGATTTGTTCACAGTTGTTTGGCATGGTCCACGCTGTGCGTGAGGGGGCGTATTAGAATCCCACATTGCTTGAGAAAATATAAATGATCCACTTTATAAGGCGAGGGCAATCCTTCCCTAATAAGCCGGTTTTATTAGGTGGAGTTAGGCCCAATATTCCTTAACAAATAATTAAGGTGCTTAATTGTATATCGACATATTCTTCTCGTAGGTAATATTTTGATTATTAGTTAGAAAATCTGCCAGCTGCTTATAAGCACATATAATCTCAAAATTACCTCGTGGAGTATTTATGGTATGTTAGCATTAACCCACTTTGCACATAAACTTCTAAAATGTTAGGGGCTGTTCTCTCTCTCGTGTTTCAATTTTGAGTTTTGAATTCATTTTTGGTTTTGTGTTTTGAATGTTCATTTTGAGATTATTGAAAACGTGTTGATTTTGTCATTTTAAAAAATTGTTTTCAAAAATTAAAAAAATGAAGTTTTAGATTGATTTTAACTGAAAACAGTCAAAACGACTCTTTTGGTGTGTTCCATTTTTTTATTTTATTTTTTTTTTGTAAATTTTAAATTCGTTTTTGGAAATTCGTTTCTAAAAATAAGTAAACATATTTTCAGTGTTTACGAAAATTGAAAACTGAAAATGGTTTGAAAACAGCAAAGAGAACAAAATTTAATTCTTTTTTTAAGAAATAAAATTTGAAATTCTTTGAAAACTCTTTACTATGAAAATCGAAATTCTTTGAAAACTCTTTTCAGAATCTAATTTTTTTTTTTTAAATAAAATTTGCAAACCTAAAGAAACTTTAGTAAGCTTTTGACAAAAATATTTGATAATTACGACTAAAAATTGCACATTGTTATGATTTATTTATTTTTTGGGTAAGTTTTAAGTAAGAATTAACTGAACGCCAAGCTTCAGCTACAAATTTTCACTATGTCATGCTTTAATTATTACACTAAATAAAAGTAACAGTTGTTTATTTTTTGAATTAATATTTATTTTCTTCTTTAATAATTTAATTTATAAAAACTATTTAAAAAAAAAAAAGTTCCCACATGATTTCATGTCTTAATTGTTTCAAAAATGTCTTGTCGCATTTTATTCTCCAATTCTCTTTTCGTGTAATCTAGTATAATAATCTAGACTTGCAAATAGCGAGTGGCTGCCTCGTATATAATATTTTAAACACCACCAAATGAGTACATTGCATATGATTTTGGGATACATGGTCCGCACGTCCTTGAAAATATTTTCTTCTAAGGTGCTTCTCACGTATTTTTCATAATATTGAGAATGCATACATATATATAAACACTACTAGAGTCATTCAACATCGTCAATTACAAATCATTTCCTTCCTCTTTAATAACAATGAACTTGTCTACCACCTATTTCTCCATCTTCTCCATAATTCTTGCATTCTCAGTTAATAATGCCTGGCTTTTTGATGATTCAGATTCACTCAGTTTCTCCCACTATCACGAAACCTGTCCCGAACTCGAAAAAATTATCCACAGCAAGGTTAAAGAATGGGTCGACAAGGATCACACACTCGCCCCCGCTCTCATGCGGTTGCATTTCCACGACTGCTCCGTCAGAGTAAGTAGCAGCAGCTTAAGCTTTTAGATGAAATGGTTAATCTCGTCTCTGTTAATTAATTTGTTTTTATATCGTGGTGGTGCAGGGATGTGATGCTTCGATTCTTCTAAATCATAAAGGGAGTGAGAGGATAGCCAATGCGAGCAAGTCATTGAGGGGATTTGAAGTGATTGATGATATCAAAGCAGAAATTGAGAAAAAATGTCCCAAAACAGTGTCATGTGCTGATATTCTTACTGCTGCTGCTAGAGATGCTACTGTTGCAGCTGGAGGTCCATTTTGGATGGTACCCTATGGTAGGAAAGATGGACGAGTTTCGGTTGCACATGAAGCTGATTCCGTGCCTATCATGGGTCACGAAAAAGTAACTGACATGATCGAATTTTTCCAGTCGAAGGGATTGAATGTGCTCGATCTGGTCGTCCTCTCAGGTACATGACAATGTTAATAAGTTTTAGAAAATGAAGGCCAAACACAGGCCGAACGTGTGATTTCTCATTTGTCTTAATTAAATTTAATAGGAGCACATACCATTGGAAGAAGCACATGCGGCTCTCTACAAAACAGGCTGTATAACTACAAAGGAACTGGGAAACCTGATCCAAGCATCAACCCTAAATATTTGAATTTCTTGAGGAGAAAATGCCGATGGACTTCAGAATACATTGAGCTCGATGCAGTGACCCCCAAGGCCTTCGACGTGCAATACTACAAAAATCTTGAGAAGAAAATGGGTTTGTTATCGACCGATCAAATGTTGTATACCGATTCACGTACTGCGCCCCTTGTCACTGCATTGACTTCGCAATCTTCACTCTTTCATCATCAATTTGCCACATCCATGGTGAAGCTTGGGAACATTCAAGACTATGATGATGATGGTGGTGAAATTCGAGTGAATTGCAACTTCGTCAACGAGTGAAATCTAATTTTGCACGTCTTCACAAACTAGCTAGAGCTAAGAAATACTCAACTTGTTGAGAAATCATCATTACTTTAAACTCGGTCTCCACTAATTTGTCTTTGGCCATGAAATGCTCTCTCCCTTTTTCATCAAATTGTAATGAATGTATTTCACTATTTCTAATTCTCCTTTGTCACCAAAAAGTCTCAATTACAACTTATGATATGTATTTCATATTTTTATTTCTTCTCTATTTATATGAAAGAAAATTGTTGAATGCCCCTCTAAAAAGAATAAGATTTCTAATTTGCGCCTCTTGAAACTCCATCAGCTGTCAATTCTATTTTAAGATTATTGTTATACAGACTGGTGACAAATGGTATATATATAACACGTACAATAACAAGTTTTATCCTCGAGTATTCATACCAAAAATAAAATTCTTTGGAATGTAACAAAATTCACGAAGAATATAAAAGGTGACAATAAATTAAAAGTTTAATTCGTTTCCTTTTAATTGTTTCTCTCTCCTCTCAACAAACAAACATATTATCTAATTTATTTGGTAGATATACATAGCCTCAACATAAATGATAATTTATATATTATGACTTCAGTTTTACTCAAATCGACAAGTCAGTACTTTAAATCTTCCTCGTTAAAGCACTTCCACACTCACGTCAACCATTAAGATCCACGTGCATGTTTCACACCCACGCATCGATGTCTCGGATAATTCATTAGTCTCAGCAAGTAAAGGGTTTGAAGAAGGATATTTTGCGAGAGAATATATTTGTCAAACTACAACCAAAAAATAATAATAAGGGTGGAGAGAATATGTTTGTCAAACTACAACCAAAAAAATAATAATAAGGGTGAAGAAATTTGGGTATCACAAGATTAGATTAAAGGCAGGAAATAATTGGAGTTGGAAACAAGGTTTTGTACAACCATTCAAACAAGAGTAGATGCCTTGCAAAAGGACAAGGATTTGGTAGCTTAACCCAATAATTGTCAAAAATAATGTATGCAAATCAATAAGATGTTGCCCTAAACTTTAAAAAAAAAGGAATATTAATGTGTGTGAAGCCAATGAAATCATGCACACCCAAAAGGAATAAGTTTGTTTCATGGTTGACTTTGCACAATATTGATATGAAGGTAAAAGTATGGTAAATTTCCTCTGCGGTCATTAAACTTTTAGAAAATTTTGATTTGAGTCACTAAATTTTAATTTGTCTCAAGTGGATCATTAAAATTTAATTTATATTCAAATATAACTACTCTCCCTTCCAAACAGATGGAAATTGCTTAGTTATCAGCCGTACTGTAACTGTCCTTCTACGTAATCGTGATGTTGTACTCGATAAAATGAAAGTTATGACAATGTTTTTAGATGTGGTGTAGCAGTAAGTTGACATGCTACACAACAATTAGGTGGAAGATCCATTTTGGCATGATTGCCAGTTTTCATCAATTTGAGAGATGGCAGATGTAAGAGCGGTGAATTTTGAGACTTAAATTGAAATTGAGTGATCTAATTGAGACAAATCAAAGTTCAATAACCCAATTGAAAATTCATTGAGTTTGGTGATCGTGGTTGAAATTTACTCGTAAAAGAATGGAAATGCAACCGTGCACTTTCAAAAATACGGCTTGAAGATTGAGCTAACACACCATTACAAGCAAACCCACAATACTCAGTCTTCAACAACTGTATCTTCCCTCTATTAATCATCCAATATCTTCTTCTTCTTTATTCATTCATTAAATAGTATCTCAGACTTATCTACTTCTTGGTTCCTCCAGCCTTGACTTGTGTTTTGCTCCATTTAATGCTGCTAGCGTATTCACGTTTGACTACATTCTACAAATCTCTCTCTCCATCTCTTACAGGAAGAAATTATCGGTGGAGCATTCATTTCTTTATCTCTTGTTTTTTTTCACTCTTTTTAAGGAGAATTAAAGCTCTGCTGCTACAACTGTCCAAAAATCAAAATCACAATTTCCATCTGAACTGTGCAACATGCACTGGCTCAGAACCACGCGTCTTCTCGCCACCCCATTTCTTGAGAAGCTATTAATTGAAAACCCATCTCCTCATCTACTCCATACATAAGCATCATTCGGTGAAATCTCTGTCACTTTGCCAAAGAAATGGAAATGTTGAAGCTTGTTCTTGTTCTTGTACTGATTCTATTATCAGGCATATATACGACGTCAGGCAGGGATATTTTAGATGCAAATACGACTATGAATATTCTATTGGAGGTGCGAAAATCTTTTCTTCAAGACCCACTAAATGTGCTGCAAGATTGGTCTGAAAACAATCGAAAATTCTGTACATGGAGAGGTGTGTTGTGTTCAAAGAGTCGAGTGGTGAGTCTAAATCTATCAGATTCTTCACTCAGTGGGTCGATATCACCTTCACTCGGGCGCTTGCATAACCTGCTCCACCTTGATCTTTCTTATAACAGACTTTCAGGCCCCATTCCACCTACTATTTCGAACCTTTCTTCTTTGGAATCTTTGCTTCTTTTCTCAAACGAACTTTTTGGTCCCGTTCCAACTCAACTGGGCTCCCTTAAAAATCTTCAAGTTCTTAGAATTGGCGACAATGGTCTTACAGGGCCAATTCCAGCTTCTATTGGTAATCTCGAAAAGTTGGTCATTCTTGGATTGGCCTCGTGCAATCTCAGTGGTCGAATACCTCCAGAACTGGGTAGGCTCGGCCGAATTCGGAATTTAGTCTTGCAGCAAAATCAGCTGGAAGGTCCAATTCCGCCTGAGATTGGTAACTGCACTAGCCTTGTCGTGTTCACAGCTGCAGTTAACAATCTCAGTGGATCAATCCCTTCAGAGTTGTGTGGTCTTCAAAATCTTCAATTACTGAACCTGGCTAATAATACACTCTCTGGAAAGATTCCAACGCAGCTTGGCGAACTCAATAAGCTGGAATATTTCAATCTGCTTGGTAATCAGCTTGAAGGTTTGATCCCAAAGACTTTAACGAACTTGATTAGTCTTCATAATCTAGACTTGTCTGCGAACAAGCTCACGGGCCCAATTCCAGGAGAATTTGGTAGCATGAGTCAGCTGGTTTACCTAGTACTATCAAGCAACAATCTCACTGGTGAAATTCCAAAAAGCATATGTTCCAATGCCACCAGTTTGCAACACTTGATGCTGGCCCAAAATCAGCTTTCAGGTAGAATTCCAGTGGATCTAAGGGACTGCAGGTCACTGATGCAACTTGATTTGTCCAATAATACGCTAAATGGGTCGATACCTTCAGAGCTTTACGAGTTGGTTCAATTGACTGATCTCATGCTTAACAATAACACTTTGGTTGGTACACTATCTCCACTCATAGCGAACCTAACCAATCTGCAGACACTGGCACTGTACCAAAACAACTTACATGGCAATCTACCTAAAGAGATTGGAATGCTAGGGAATCTTCAGATAATATATCTCTATGACAATCAGCTGTCTGGAGAGATCCCAGTAGAGATTGGTAACTGCTCCAGTTTGCAAATGATTGATTTCTTTGGTAATCAATTTACAGGGCAGATTCCCATTACTATTGGAAAGCTGAAGCAGCTGAATTTCATTCACCTTAGACAGAATAATCTTTCGGGTGAGGTTCCCGCTGGTTTGGGCAACTGCCACCAACTAACCATTCTTGATTTGGCGGACAATCGATTGTCAGGCAGCATTCCAGCGAGTTTTGGGTATCTTCGAGCTCTGGAGCAGCTAATGCTATACAATAACTCTCTTGAAGGTAATCTACCTGATGAGCTTATCAATGTTGCAAATCTGACGAGGGTCAATCTTTCGCATAACAGACTCAATGGTAGTATTGCTCCAATCTGCAGTTCACGTTCTTTTCTGTCTTTTGATGTCACAAACAATGCATTTGATCAAGAAATTCCTCATCAGATTGGAAATTCACCTTCGCTGGAAAGATTAAGGCTAGGGAGTAACCAATTCACGGGCAAAATCCCTTGGGCACTAGGTTTAATCCAAGAACTATCTCTATTAGATCTTTCAGGCAATTCTCTTACTGGACAGTTGCCAACCCAGCTTTCCCTGTGCAAGAAATTGACCCATCTTGATCTCGATAACAACCTTCTTTCTGGGCCTATTCCATCTTGGATTGGGACTCTTCCTCTATTGGGGGAGCTGAAGCTCGACTCCAATCGATTTTCTGCTTCTCTTCCTCCCGAATTATTCGATTGCTCGAAGCTTCTGGTCCTGTCTCTCAGTGGGAATTCACTTAATGGTTCCCTCCCTCCTGAAATTGGTAAAGTCGAATCTCTCAATGTTCTCAATCTTGACAGCAACCGACTTTCTGGTCCTATTCCTCCCACTATTGGTCAATTAAATAAGCTCTATGAACTCCGGTTTTCACGAAACAGCTTTAGTGGTCAAATACCAGACGAGATAGGACAGCTCCAGAATCTGCAAAGCATCCTAGATTTCAGTTACAATAACCTCTCTGGAAAGATCCCAGATTCCATTGGAACACTGTCCAAACTTGAAATGCTCGATCTATCACACAACCAACTCACTGGAGGACTCCCTCAAGTGGGTGAGATGAGAAGCTTAGGAAGAGCAAACTTCTCCTACAACAACCTTCATGGAAAATTGGACAAGCTATATGCACACTGGCCGTCTGATGCTTTTGCTGGGAACTTGAATCTTTGTGGAAGTCCTCTTCAAATATGCAAGGACCTGGAGTCTTCCCATCAGGAATCGTATCCAAGTGATTCATCAGTGGTGCTAATATCTGCAATATCAACTACATTTGCAATTGTTCTTCTATTACTTGGAGCTGCCCTCTTTTTCAAACACAAACGAGCAGCGCTTAGAAGAGCCAGTGAAGTGGATTCTGGTTACTCTTCCCATTCTTCCCAGGCACAAAGGCGCCATTTGTTCGACAATGCTGCTGCTAAGCGTGATTTTAGATGGGTGGACATCATGGATGCCACTAACAATCTAAGCGATGAATTCATAATTGGATCTGGAGGATCAGGAACTATCTATAAAGCTGAGTTATTCAATGGAGAAACAGTGGCAATCAAGAGAATTCCAAGGAAGGATGATCTGTTGTTGGACAGAAGCTTTGCAAGGGAAATTAGAACTCTTGGGAGGATAAGGCACAGGCATCTAGTGAGATTGTTGGGGTATTGTAGCAATCGAGGAGCAGGCTCCAACTTGTTGATCTATGAGTACATGGAGAATGGAAGTTTGTGGGATTGGTTGCATAAACAAACAATGAGTGATAAGAAGAAGAAGAAGAGCCTAGACTGGGAAGCAAGATTGAAGATAGCAGTGGGACTAGCACATGGGCTGGAGTATCTTCACCATGATTGTGTGCCAAAGATCATTCACAGAGATGTTAAATCTAGCAATCTGTTGTTAGACGCAAACATGGAGGCACATTTGGGAGATTTTGGGCTGGCAAAATCTCTCACGGATGATTATGACTCCCTAGATACTGAGTCGAATTTGTGGTTTGCAGGTTCTTATGGCTACATTGCTCCAGGTACTTGTGCTCTCTATAAATTGTCAGTTAGTAATTTAAATTCATTTTTTAATTTAGCTGAACAGAGTTGATTTCAAGTTTCTAAGGACGTGCTTTTGCATTTCCAGAGTATGCTTATTCCTTAAAGGCCACGGAGAAGAGTGATGTTTACAGCATGGGTATTGTGCTGATGGAGCTGGTAAGTGGAAGAATGCCGACGGGTGGGAGCTTCGGTGTAGATATAGACATGGTTAGATGGGTCGAGTCACGAATGGAAATGCAAGGATCTGAACGTGAGGAGCTAATTGATCCTTTGCTGAAACCACTCTTACCCAATGAAGAAACTGCTGCATTCCAAGCGTTAGAAATAGCCTTGCAGTGCACAAAAACTGCACCTGCAGAAAGACCATCATCACGGCGCGCTTGTGATCTCCTCGTACATGCATTTAACGATAGGATGGTTCAGTCAGAGAAAATGAGCCCAGATGATCGATGCGCATAAAGTTCATGATTTGAAAAGTTTATTTCACAAGCTCGACTAGGAATATGCCAATGTTTACCGACCTATTACTTTGTTTTTTTATTGATAGCTTCTCGCTGCTCGAGTACACGAGTGAAAATGTTAATCTTTTCCTTTGCCTCCCACTAGTTTTATCTAGGCATTTTGGTGATAATTAACTCTTGTTGGCGATAATGGTATGTAGTAGCTAACTTTACAGTAGGGCAACTATTTGTCAATTCGGGTCCCTTCTGTATATCACTGCCTGAGTTCTACAGGCAATCTATCTATGGAACGTTAAAAATTAGGATCGATAACACAAATCATTCAACTGTGTTACTAAAATGCTTGCTAATTATACATATTCCAACTTAAGACAATCCATTGCAAGGTTGTCGTATGGAATTATATGAGTTTCTACCATTTATCATTAGCAAACTTTTCTTCGTGCACTTGTGAATAAAAAGACGATGCATTTGCAATTTTTTACAATGCCAGTGGAGTCCATTGCTTACCAATACAAGTTGCATAATAAGTAGACAAGTATTATAAGCAAGCATTTAAATGAAGCAGAGGAAATAATGTGCATTGTAGAGCAACACCTAGCAATGCAAACTGTGTTATGCATGTTTATACTTTCCTTCTAAAAATGGGTTTGTAGCTACAGTATTTTATTTTAAAATACAACTCAAACATGCCAATTTCCATTAACAAATATTGCTGCATAGCAAAGCTCATGAGCAGTAAAATCAAACAGAGGGAAAAAAGGACAATAGATTAGGCAAACAAATGTCTACAACCCATGACAAGAACTGGCACGGACACTACATTCTTTGACAAGTGAATCCCAAAGCAAATGCATTTCAACACGTTCCACCTAACTTTTAGTCTTCATCATCGTCTGCAATTGAAAGTCGGAAATAAATCAGATGGATTAAAGGGGAAGGTGTTAAGGGGCAAGATGCAGACAAACTACAGCACAGAAAACTTAAGACGGTAAGATCAACTATGGTCAATCTCTTCGAAAGAGAGAACTTTATTAATGAGGTACAGAATGATTGAGCAAAATAAGGTTTTGGTAATACTTCTATAATGGAAGAACATAATGAAAATTGTAGCAAATTGTATTTGTATTTTCTGTGCTAA